GCGGTGGTGGTAGTATAGGCATTGGTGGAGGAATTTCAGGGCATGGGATATCAGCATCACAAGATATTTGTTCTTGAGAAGGTCCAGCACACTGAAAGCGGATTCACTGTCTGGCTTAAGGTATGAGCTATGCAAAACGACTTACTCCTTCCACGCAACTACACTGCCTTGTACGGTAGGTGGTGCCTCCTGTTCCGCACGTGACACTACACTGTGACCACGGTGACCACTTGAATAATTTATCATCACTTTTTATATAGTTATAAAAAAGCTCTAAACTTACCGAGCTCCATTCGCAGCAGGGTTGTGTATTACATGTGCTACTTTCTGTCGCTACTCCAACACAGCAAGTATTGCATGGGTCTTTGCATAACCGAACTCGATAAGATACACCACCACCACAGGATGCACTGAAGGAATTAATTTTTGAGGGCAAAAAGCATAGTTGTTTGCTAGAGCATGTTGCCTCATCTGCGCAGGGAATCACTATGCAACTACCAACTAATTCGCAAATGGAAAATGTCAATTAGATTTTTTGAGAACAAATAGGTTTTCTGAGGAACCTCTTTACCGCTTTGACTGAATAATGGAACTGGAACTATAGGGATGAGGACGATGAGTGAGCAAGGCACTGTATGGCAGTAATGGCCCTCCCCCCTTCCGAAACATAAAAAATTGTTATTTTTGGCCAGTAGTATATTATTATTTATAAAAGTGTGCAGACTGTCACAAATGGTACATAATTCAAATATTTTTGTGACTTTCTGAAAATCTAGATACTCTGGAAGATTTTTTTGCTCCATTTAAAATTTTGTAGATTTAACCGTGTCTTGGTTACAGTTCCGCAAAAAATTTGTAAAGTGCCCCAAAATTTTTTTGAATGGAGGTCATGCCTCCACATTAAAGAATGTGCCCCTCCCCCCAAATCTTCTCGCAGATGCCCCTAAGGGTGGATAATATGGAAAACCATATTGTTATTTGTACTGTTCTACCTATTTAAGAAAACTCTTTTCTTACCTACAAGAACTCCAAGGACCCCAGTTACTCCACTGTGGTTGCGGTGGAGGCGGCGGTACGATTATGGTGCAAGGTCTTGCTTCACTATAAGAACCGCCGG